GGGAGGGACGGGGGGGAGGGAGAGATAGAGATACAGAGAATCTTAAGTAGGGTCCGTAACAGCACAGAGCCTGACGAAGGGCTTGATCCCACGACCCTAGGATCATGACCTGAGCTGATATCGAGAGTTGAACGCTCAACCGACCGAGCCACCAGGGTGCCCCTAGAATTTCTTTTTAGGACAAACTCCTGCACATCTTAAATAGTCACATAAATGCCGTGGCGCACGCCAGTGGTCAGGCACACACCAGCCGAGCTCACACAGGAGACGCATGAAGCTGGGTCCGCTCAAGAGTCCCGCTCAGGATGGCTGCCCTCCACGCGGAGCCCAAGCAGTCAGGCCGCCCCACCCTCCCTGCCCAGCTACACACGAGGAAACTGGGGCCTACAGAGATCTCTCAATCACCTAATTCCCCCAAATGACAGCAAACGAAGTGCTGTTTCCTTTACCGTTTTCATTAAACAGCCCATAGGAAAAAACCACAGGCTTCTGGTCATGGAGTGAACATTCTGGAGAAAATGTCTAGCACTCAGGAAGCACCACAAGGAGGGTCACGTGAGCGGGCAGCTGCATCTGAGTTTTTACAACAGTGGTGACGGACGTGCTGGCAGAGTGACCGACCCCCCAGTCTGCCTGTGTGCCCCCCCGCCCGGCCGGCCAGTCAGGTGTGGGCTTGGCTCCCCAACCTGGCCCAGGGATGGCCAGGAGCAGCGTGAGACGAGAACTTTTCAACCCATCATCCTGGATAATCAGAGAGCGCTGCCCTCGACGGGCCATCAGCGGTCAAGACCCCGGTGGCCTCTGCCGGTCACAGCAAGCTGCCCGTGAAGACTTCTGGTTTCCCAGGAAGGGGGCCGACTCATCGAGTGTAGACAGGGCTCACACGGGCTGGCTGTCAGGCAAGAGTGCCAGCCCTGCCCCACACGCTCCACCACAGGGCCTCGGACGAGTCCCACAACCCTGCGTGCCTCCCTTCCCTGGTCTATAGATCAGAGGGACACGAGGACCTGCCCCACGCATTTACAGAGGTTTAAGGACTCATTCTACACACAAATTTGTCATCACCAAGGTTCTACGTACACTTTAAACACCAAGAGGACGGTCTCAGAAGTTCAGATTTCAAATGAGGCGACTGTGAAGTACACAAAATCACAACCCTCCAAAACAAACAGAGCCAAGCGGACAATCTCTACTCTACCTGAGTCTTCCATCAAGGAAGGATCCACTTTCGGAGAAAGAAAAGCTATGAAAAGGTTGAGGTGGTAGATCCCCAAGGCGTAGGTCACGATGTACCAGCCCTGCAAGAGAAGGAGGCACGGTCAATGGCATGCCCCAACACCGCCCCCGGACCCCATCCCGGCCTACCATGCCGTGAACTCCTGACCTCGGGTGAACCGAACTTCGGAGTATTCACAACTGACGTACAAGAGGAGGGGCAGCTTTTGTGGCAACAGGCGACAAAGAGGCCCAGTGGACGCCCACCATGGCAGTTGACCTCAAATGACTTTGTGAGCGTGACCGTGGACAAGCCACGGCCCAAACGGAGAACTTCTCCAAGGGTCGAGCTGGATGCACGTGACACCCGAAGCCAGCAGCTCCCCATCAGGAGCACAGACGAAAAGGAGGATTTTCGCGAAGCCGCACGCCTGAGCTGTGCCACAGCCCCCAGCAGGTACGGACCGGGCACCGAATGGCGCCGGCGTGCACGCCCCGACGGCCACCTGAACCAGAGTCCAGGATCTGAGCCGTCGCTCAGGACGTGCCGGCCATCGGCTCTCCTGGTAGGTCCCTCACGCCACCATCACCACACACTGGTCACGAGTGTTAATAACCTTCGCCCGGAAAAATCCAGAACCGGAAAATCCGGAAGTCGAGAATGAGGTTCAGGGAATGTTGTGGAGCCAAACCCTCCTCGGGACGTGCAAACAAACGGAAGCACACAAACCTGTGCCAGGTTTACCCAACGGCACCAAGACCCACGGTGCTACCGACTCTAAAAGCCTAAACGACTTGCACACAAGCAAAAACTCCTCCGCCTTCCTATTTTTCAAGCCCGGAAACCACTGACTAGACGTGGAAAGCCGACGGTCTCCTGCCGGCGTGCCTTCCTGAGAGCCACGCCACAGCAGGTGCGAACTCGGGTTTAGAAGACAGTACGGTGAGCCTGCGTGAGGTGAGCCCCCGTCCCGCCAGCACCCCGAAATCAAGGTCTCCGGGTCGTTCTGTCCGTTACAGAATGAACCAAGTTCCCATTCAAACGACAAACCTAGAAACAACCGCAGTAAATCTGACATCAGCCTCAGAGCAGCTGTGCAGTCCTGCTACGGGGAACCACAGAACGGCTCCCATGGCGCCCACGGCCCCACGCGGAGCCAGCGTCAGGCTCGCATACAGGAAACATGCACGGGCAACAGTACCCGGGAACAAAGAGGCTACACTCAGTTCAAGTGACAATTTCCCACAGCAGTGGACACGTCGTAGAGCCCAGGACACAAGCGTGTTGACCGGTGGGCCCATGTCCTCCTACGTCCTGGAAACATCCGGAACGGAGGCATTTGCTTTAAAGGAGGAAACGCCTTTCCAGCTACAGAGGAGAAAAGACTGTGGACGAGGCCTTCAACCTTCCTTCCTCCAGATGTAACGGGACATCAGATACCCCGCACCCGGGGCCTACAGAGAATTCGCACCCAGGAACAGGTGGGCACTGGAGAACACATACACGGCAAAGGGGACGTCTGGGGACATCACCCGAGCTGAAGAAAGGTCCTTCAAACCCACTTCCAGTCACCAGGTCTCAGACTCAACAACCCACTCTCTCTCCTCGGCCTCCTGAAAGGGAACTTGAGAGAAACAGCTAAGCCCTCAGGATGCTCAGGGCATGAGGTGGCTGATCCAGAAGGTTCTTCTGTCACCCCGGGGTCTCTTGTGCCAGGAGTCCCAAGGCGGGGTCAGAGGGTCCACGGTGCAGACCAGGACCGCTGGAGTTTCACAGGCCCCAGGAGGATGTCAAGATTGTCCTGGGAACTCTAGCCACAGGGTATGACAAACTTAGGGTGAACTGCGGACGATCCAATTTTAAAACACAGTCACTGCAATTTTTCTTACGTTTAGTCCTTACCTGAAAAATGACTTATTGGAGACCCCGTCCTTCGCCATGAAACCTCCTCCTCCGGAGACAGAAGGAGAGCCGACACCCCACCCCGAGACCACGTCTGGGCAGCGTGCAGCCAGCCACACCCACCTGCAGCAGGTAGACTCGAATCATGTACACGAAGCTCAGGCCCAGCGTCACCACCCATCGCACGGCCGTGTAAGGCGTGGACTTGTCTAGCCAGGACTGGTAGATCTAGAAAGATAAGAGTTCACAGGCGCCGCACAGACCCCGCGATGCCTGCTGCAAGGCAGCAATGCTTCCTGTGAGCGTTGGCTGCCGGCTCTTAAGTTACCAGCACAAAGCAGTGACTACGATTCACCCCAACCTGCCATCACTCCCGAAACAGGCCCACCCCTTAAGCGAGAACACGACAGAACGCTCTCTCTTAGCAGACGGTCCTACGGCATCAGCCTGAGCAGTCGTTTTGAGACACCTGACCTCACCCCAAGGGCACTGGGAGCGTGTATGCCTTACACGGGTCCCAGAGCCCCCACCTCCCCCTGCCCCGAGCTGGCCTCAGCCCTGCCCAGCAGCCCCGGGCGGACCTTGCCTCAGCCCAGTCAGCCACAGCCTGACCCCTGGCGGGGTGGAGCTCACAGACAGTGGGCACCAAGCGGTGAAGTTTCCGGAAGGATTCCTTGGTTCCACCCATACATGCATGTGTGCAAGCACGTGTAATTAGCAGACGTATGTGCACTGTCTAATTTTCACTCTCAAATTAATTTTAACCTGTAAGCTTTTAATTTTCTATGAAAAATGTCAATCGTTCATAAAAGTAAAAGGAAGGACCCGTCACCCGGCTTCAGTAATTATGAAGTTTCCCAAGTGCTTTTTAATTTTAAAAACACATATGCTTTTCATTCTGAGTCAAAACATCAGTACGTGCAATTGTTCACCGAATCAGACCTCTGAACCCAGTGTGTGTGTGTGTGTGTGTGTGTGTGTGTGTGTCTCTCTCTCT